CGAGCTTTCGTTTGGTCGAAATCGGGTCTTGTGTTCGACGAATCTGAACTTGCATTGCCGAATTATTTCACTTGCTGAATTTGAGATTGAAAAGGTGTAGTTGTTCCCTAAGCACTCACTATAGTATAGAGCATGCAGTCATTCGACACATGTTACACACGACTAGGCTGCAGCTACTTCTCACAGTGTGTAAGTCACACGTTATATGGTCGCGAACCGCATGCAAATATTCTGATACCTGCCTGCAGCTGACTGTCTCATTGCCAGCGAAACACATTTTTCAGAGCGACGCAAGCTCCTGGGCCAATAGAATAGTGGAAAAGGTGCACAGGTATACGACTTGCCATCGATACCGACAACTCCCATTACGATTCATCGTACTGTAAATTTATACTCAGCATACCCAGTAGCCTTCTTCACGAGGATATTGAGAGGATTGAACGTCACCCAGTGAATTATTCTGATCGAAATCCATGCACAAAGACACTCGAACGGTAAATAGGGATCATGCTACTTCCCAAGAGTCTTGAGCCAAAAGGGCCTCAGATTCCCCAGAAGGGCTCATCCTTTAGGTCTCAACGCAAGGACAGATCCAATTCCACTCGCGCTACAGAGTAACAACGAAAAGTTCCAATTGATTTAGACGAGATGATGTTCTCTAAAAAATCAACATTGAAACTTGATGATATAAACCAAGGACATGCAATCAGCTCGGTAGAGCATTAGAGAATAACTGGGAGTTCGGAGTGGCCTGACGGATGCTAGATGCCAGCCAGATGGTATCGGAGAGAGGCCAGCCGCTGACCGTGAGCTCCACAGTAGTAGATCTTCCATGTTCGAGTGTGTTCTCTTCCGAGAAAATGACCATAACATCATCAGTACTATGGACGATATAACCATCACCACCGCGGATAACCGCGGCCGGGGAAACCACTACTTGGCGCTGCGGTTCGACCGCTCTTCGATAATGGAAGCGGCGGAGTCCCCCTTTCAAAGCGGCGGTGAGAGGTCCGTCGAGCCTAGTCGTGGCAGATGACTAGCCATTGGACTTCGGGTGGCCGTGGCAACCCTGTAGAGAACAAGGATTGATGACGGGATGAGGGGTCTATTTTACTTCGCAACTTCGCGGGTTAAGTCCTCAGATGGACACATCGACGGTCGGGCAGGCAGGCGACTGGATTGTCTCATACAGGTACGTTTCTCTTGCCTGAGCTTAGAAAGCTGTTCTTCAACAGCGACGCCCCATTCCGCAATGGATGTTCGACGCTTCATAGAGAATGAGGCAGAGAGCAATGCTACGGGATGGCGCACTACAGCAGTCCCTTTTGTGACACTTGGTCCTGTCAAGTTGATAATATAAACATTACGGGGACTATTCAGGATAGAAGCTGCATGCAGAATTCAGCTTCTACTACACCTTTTCAATCTCAAATTCAGCAATTGAAAGGACAAATTTTTACGAAAGTAGTTTGATTTTCGACGAGTGAAATGGGTTTTTCACGAAATGAAAGTTCAAATTCGAAATGAAAGTTCGATTTTCGTTGATTGGTTGAAAATGAATGTTCAAATTCGTAAATGAAATTTGTAAACTCGGGAACGCAAGTTAAAATTCGTCGAACACAAGGCCAATTTCGACCAATGAAAGCTTACTTTCACCACATGGAAGGAAATTCTCGTCAGCGTCGTGCCACGGATTGTAATTTGCGACTCGCAAATTGTGAGTGCTCTACGGACTGCACCGTAATGCTAACAGTACAGTGCAGTTCACAAATTTGCAATGAAGGATTTTCAGGGATTCGAGCCGGAAGATTGTTCGGGTTTAATTCTCCAATAGAGATTCTCCATTATCCTTCTCCAATGATATCGGAAGGATAATGGGGTCGGCACATGTTCGGTTCGGTTCGGTCTCCGAACCGCCGAACCGAACTTTGATCGACCGAATACCGAACCGGACCAAACCTCTACGAAAAGTTCGAGTCTCGACGGGTTACATCGGT